AAATTATTTATGTGTGTGTGTGTGTATGTGTGTGTTTGTTTTTTGTATGTCTGTGTGTTTGGATTTTATTTTTAAGTAATTTATTAACATGGATAATTTTTTTCCCTTCAAATAGCACCGCGAGCTAGAAAACTTGAAAATTATCGCCTATTTGGCTTCGTTTACATGTCGAAATATGTGTGTGTGTGTGCGTGTATGCGTGCGTGTATGTGTGCGTGTATGTGTACATATATGTGTGCGTATGTGTGTCTGTGTGTTGTGTTTTTGCACTACATAACAATATGAACATAATTTTCACACATAATTATAGAAAAATAGCATAAAATATAAATGAAAATTGTTTCTATAAGCAGTTAATTTGGAATTCTGAATGTTATTCACATTTAAGATATCATTGAGATATATATACACTAAAATAAAGATAGTTTATATATATATATATATATATATATATATATAGAATTGTTTTTATTATTATTTTTAATTACCTACAATATTTTTTAACAAAATTATTGTTATTAATTATTAATAGTTTTATCAATTTATGAAAAAATTAAGGTGACACATACGGTAGATTACCCACTTTGGAGCTAAAAAAAACCAGCCAAACAATTATTCAACTAACTAATCAATCAACCAACCAATCAATCAATCAATCAACTAACTAATCAATCAATCAATCAACTAACTAATCAATCAATCGTTCAGTCAACTAACTAATCGATCAATCGTTCAGTCAAATACACTGATAATTTTCAATAAGTTTATTTTGGCTGTTGTTGTCTGATGAAAGCTTCTCACAAACCAAATGCTCCGATGATGACTTTGTTGATAGTGAGTGATGTTGAGGGTGGGTAGGAAGATGCTGAGAGTGGTGTTGGAACTTTTTTAATGTGTTGTTGAAAACTTGATTGTTGTTGTTGTTGTTGTTGCAAGTTGAAGTTGTCGATTGATTTAATTGTTGTTGTTGTTGTTGGTGGTGATGGTGGTGTAAAAGCTGTTCGTGATGCTGAAGGTGGGGTAAATTTGTGAAACGCTGATGTGTTGGGCAAAACATTTGTTGCTGTTGTTGTTGTTGTGTAAAATGTTGTTGTTGCGGTTGTTGCACAAATTGTTGTTGTTGATATTTTAGTTGATGTTCATGGTGGGTTGGTTCGACACAATTTGACATGAAGCAAGGCAGTGTGGTTATTTTATCATTGTCGTCGTTGTTGTTAGGGTTAGGGTTATTGTTGACTGTATGGCAAATATGTTGATAGACAAGTTGTTGGGGTTGCAATTGTTGCGGATGTTGCAGCAACATATGTTGTTGGTGTAAATGTTGCTGTTGATAATGTGGCAAAATATGTTGGTGGGTGTTGTTGTTGTTGTTGTTTAGAAAGTTGTCATCATCCTCTGCGTCGTCAATAGTGTCGTTGTTTAAAAGATTCATTGGCTGTTTGAGGCAGTGGTCGTAAATGTTTGTAGCTGTTGTGGCTGCTGTTGTGGTCGGCGAGTTTTTATGCGGTCTGTATAAGCTGTTTGTAGTGTGTGTATGTGTGTGTATAAATGTGTATATATGTGTATGTGTGTGTATGTATATATATATATATATATATGTGTGTGTGTGTGTGTGTGTGTGTGTGCGTCAACACGTCAATGCGATGTGTGTTGTGGTATGCTTGTAAGCATGTAAACAGGTCTATAAAATATCTGGCAGACCGGAGCCTACAGCCCATATAAATATACAATAAATACAGCACCTCATGGAGTTCTTTAACACTGTTATTTGTACGTGAGCTCGCACGCATACATTCACACATACTTGCACACATACATACACATACACGCACTTATATAAACACACACATACATTTTATTACAAACATGCCGCGACAAATGTCTTATTGTAAAAGTAGACACAAATTTATAAACTTTTTTCAAATTGATCAACTAGTCTATCACACGCCAATCAATCAACCATCCATCCATCCTTTCATTCGATCATTCATTCATTTATTCATTCATTCAACCAATCAATCAATCATCTAATCACCAATTAATCACCAACCAACCAACCAACCAACTGACCGTTTCATGTAGAACGCGACAAGCGACAGCATGAGACCGCCTATCAGAACGCCCAACGCAACTCCAATGGCCACCACCAATAATATTCCTTTCATAATTAATTATAATTATCAGGATAATTATTATTTATTTTTTTTATTTAATTATGAAATTATTATGGAATTCATTCTGTTTATTTATTTATTTATTAAAATCCTCTCTTCAAAACTTTTCAGAGTTTTCAACAACGACCAAACCACTGAGCATGTAAATACGCTCATTCATCTGCCTATCCATCCAGTCATCGATTCATTCATCTATCCATCCATCCACCCACCCACCCACCCACCCATCCATCCATCCATCCATCCATCCATTCATTCATTCATCCTTTCTTTCATTCATCCTTTCTTTCATTCATTCATTCATTTGTTTATTCGTTACGATAACCTTAATACTCACCGTATGGAAAATTTTCTTCATTCGTTCTAACCAGCTTCTGTCCATTATTCTGTTTGCTGAAGGGTTCTGTGTAAAACATTCATTTGTTTATTCATTCGTTCATTCATTCATTCATTCATTCATTCAATCATTCATTCATTCATTCATTCATTCATTCATTCACTCACTCACTCACCTGAGCAGTTCATCATCTCTCCTTGCCACTTATTTAACACGCAGTTCATGGACCACTGCTGTTTTGTTTCGTTGCAACGGATGGTAGCCACGTGACCATCTGACGTCATCCAACTTTTGGCGGGAAGTGTGGGATGCTTGCAGCCCAGCACTGATTGATTGTTGGATGAATGAACGGATGGATGGATGAATGAATAAATGGATGAATGAATTAATAGATTAATAAATAAAATAAGGATTGTAAGGCGACTTACAAATAGTAATATTTGTGATCATTCATTCAATCGTTCACTCTTTTTTTCATGAATTTTCTCGTTTTTAGTTTATTCATTCCTTTCTTATTCTTTCTTTCATTCATTCACTCATTCGTTCATTCATTCATTCATTCATTTATTCATTTATTTTTTCAACGATCCGTTCATCAAAAACTAATCAGTAAATTATCGTTTGATAAGTTGATTAAAAAATATAAATTATTTATTTTCTGCTTCTCACTCAAGCACGCACGCGACTTCCTTCATTGGAACGTCATCATTTGCACGCAAGGCAAACAGACACACATATAACCACCTACACACACACACACACACACACACACACTATATATATATATATATATATAATCACACATATACACATATATAACCACCTACACACACTACACACACACGTATGCAACCACCTACACGCACACACGTATAACCACACATACACACAGACACATATAACTAAATACACATATATACACGCACACACACATACATTTATATAAACACACCTACACAAATCATATAAACACACACGCAGACAAACACGCATATTCTAAAAGACACGTGCATATACATACACACACACATATATATCTAAATACATATACATACACACGCACATGTATGTTTTTAGAAACACACACACACACAAATATCCACATTAAAAAAAACACACACGCGTCCACATACAACTCTCCTCCTTCTTTCCATTAAATATTTTTTTCTCTCACGAAACAAAAAAATTGCATACGAAAAATTGTTCCTCTGAAGTTGAAATCTCACAACTTCACACCGTAACTTACTAATTGACCCTTTGTACAACGTTTAATTTTTGCTGACCTCTTAAACTTTGAACTCTACTTTGAACTCAGTGAACTCTACTTAACCAATGATAACCCTTTTATTCAACAAAAATTAATTTTTTGATATTTTCTTTAAAAATTTTGCCAATCCTTTTACTCGAATGTTTAAAAATGTTCACTGAAAGAATTTGATGGTACAAAAATTTATTCGAAGTGACGGCAATTCAATTGAACGTGGTCTTTGATTTTACCAGTTAGTGCATGTGCGCGCGTGTGTGCGCGCGTGTGTGTGTGTTGTGTGTGTGTAATGATGACGTCACTATCTAGCAAACTGATTGTCTTTTTTATTTACAAGTATGTTTGTGCGTGTGTGTTGTGTGTGTGTGTGATCAAACTCAGATGAGTTCCAGCAAACTGTTAGTCTTTTTGTTTGCAAGTATGTTTGTGAGCGTGCGTGCGTGTGTGTGTGTGTGTGTGTGTGTGTATTTGTAAATGTAAGTTGTTGTGCGAGTGTGTATGCATATATCAAATTATATATTTTCTCCAACGATAAGTGCCCTTAGCCATGCTTAGCACATGTGTCGTCTTGTTAGCTACTAATGAAAATGTACCCAATGAATGTCTGCAAGAATTTTCGCTGTACTTGAATACCATTGTTATAAAATGGAGATAAAATTACAAGTTTGTGTCTGTCGCGTTTGTATGTGTATATGTGTGTGTACATGCATGTATGTGTGTGTTTGTGTGTGTGTGTGTGTGTGTGGCTGGTATATACACACGCACACACAGATTTATACACACACACACTCACACACACACACACACACACATTCGTGTCTACTGCTAACCTTTATATTTGAGGATAAAATTCGGTAGCGTCTTAAAAGACATGGCGGACGTGTAAGAAATTGTGACGTCATGGGATACGGAAGTGTACCACGTGACTTCTCGTTCCGCTCGTGAACAAAGCGAGATTTGAACACTTGCAAAGTTGTTGTTGTTGGTGGTGGTGCTGCTGAGTCTGACAGTTTTGTTGTCTATTTTATTCTTTGTATCTCTGTTTGGATTAGCCAGACTGGTTTGATGTTGTTGTTGTTGTTGCTGCATTTGTAGAGTTATTATCTTTGAAATGTTGTAAGATGTGCGGTTTAAGTTTAACAATTTGTTGTTGTTGTTGTTGTTGTTGTTTACTTTCACGATGTTGTTGTTGATGTCGTCGTCGTCGTTGTTGTTAATTTCGTTGTCTGTCATTTTAAAGTTCTCTGTGATAGTTGCGACTATTGGGCAGGATATCTGAAACAGAAAAAAAAAATTTTTGGAATTGTTAAAAAATTAAAATGACTACATTAAGTCATTCTAAATGAATAAATTATTATCAGTGAATTCTATTGTTTGCAGCTAAAAATACACCAGAGGTCTCGAATTTCAGAAAAATAATTAATAACCAATTATATACATCAGGGGTGTAACACTAAAAACATAAAATAAATAGTTGGTGAAAATGTTTTTGCTGTTGCTGTTGTTGTTGTTGATGATGATGTTGTTGCTGCTTCTGTTGATGTTGTGTTAACATTGTGGTTTTTTATCGACCAAAATTGCAGAAAAATAGAAAAAAAAACATTTTTTTTCAACCGTCCCGCAAGATGTTTCCCTAATTAAAACAAATTAAATTACTTTTTTGGCAGTTTCAATTTGTTTAAATCTGTTTTCCTTCTAATATTTTTTTCTTATTTGAAAAAATAAACAAATTGGGAAAAAAAACTCTTAAAAAAGTATTCAATTTCATCACTACATCAACCAACAACATTAATTTCGTGACACCAACATCGGTATGACATCAATCAGTAACATCATCATTATTATCGACAATAATAATAATTATTATTGTTAACACCAACAAAAACATCAACAAACGATACGGAAAATAGTCAACAACCTGAATTTCATTACACTAAAAACATCAACAACAGCAATAACAACAACAACAAAAAGAACTGCAACAACAACAGCAACCGCAGCAACAACAGCAACAACAACGTCATCAACATCAACAACAACATCATCAACATCAACAACAACATCAATATCATCAGCAACATCAAAAACAACACGAACATCAACAACAACAACAAAACCAACAACAGCCCATTACGAGTTCACTTTTGAAAACAACCCCACGTAATTGGCGGTGAAAATTAAATATTTAAGCTTGTTTATCGTCGCAATTATTTGTTTAGAAATATAATTATTATTATTATTGTTGTTATATTGTTTTATTATTCTAAATATTATTCTCACTACTTGTAGTTGTAGTATCTGTGGCAGCATTAGTAGCAGTAATGGTAGTACTAGCTGTTGATGTAGTAGTAGAAGCAGCAGTAGTTACAATAGTAGTAGTCGTAGTAGTAGTAGTAGTAGTAGTAGTAGTAGTAGTAGTGTTAGCAGTAGTAGTAGTAGTAGTAATAGCAGCAGCAGTAGTAGTAGTAGTATTTTCGTAACTTTAAAAATAGCACCAAGTATAACATACTTCTTTAAATTGCTGCTGCTGCTGCTGAAAGATGTTGAAATTTAACAAGGTCACTTGTAGTTTTTGACCCTTCTCAACCTTGACCTTAATATTGTAACAACTTCCCGTCGACGTATTTCCGGTTTTCAATGATGCCTCACTACTTCCGGTCCAATATGGCGGCAAGAGGTAGCCATCTTGGTGGGCGTGAACGACGAGGTGGTCGTCTTTGGAGCAGTCTGTCGGCAGTGTCGCTGGAGAGAGAATTAATTATAATTAATTATAATTAATTATAATTAATTATAATTAATTATTTAACTAAATTATAATTTTGAGCTGAGCAATTTTTTCATTTTGTCATGTATTATTATTACGTAATTAAATTACTTGTGGTTTCAATTTATTAGAAAATTCAATGAAATTAAAAAAAATTAAAAAATTTTATTCACAATTTGAAAAAGGTAGGCAGGATATTTTTGAATTCGAACCCGGTAACAACGAGATGCATTAAAATCGGTCAGGAGCCTCTAAACATTACGCCATCTCATTGACGGACGACAGAATTGCGATAAATTATGGACAGAACAACGAAACGGACTAAATAATATTTCAAATTTTGTAATACCTAAATTAACTTTTAACCCACCTAGCACACACATGTAGTCAGCCTCCAGGTAGCTACTAAACTCTTTGGAGCAGACGCCCAAGCGGTGCAGCGCTGCTTCGGCCACATAGACCTCACATGAAGTTTTGGCAGAGCAGAGTGAGTCCATGTACGCTGTGGCGTCTATACTGCAGTTTGTATGTGTTTCCACACATCTGTGTGGCGATGGTGGTTGCGTGATTGGCGATTTTTGTGGCGATTGTGGTGGCGTGACTGGCGATTTTTGGCGATTGTGGTATAATGTCGTGTAAAGATGATGATGTTGTTGATGAAAATTATTTGAAAATTTGAAGTTAAGTTATTTCAATAACTCAGAAATCCACAACGCTTGTTAACACATTTGCGGAAAGCGCACGAGGATGTCTTTGCGATCGAACCTGATCCTAGCGACATAATTTAATTAATAATAAACAACATTTATACAACAATCATAAAAAAAATAAAAATTAATAAAAAAATGAAAAAAAATGAATAAAATTTTCGTCAAACCTTCCCTTATGCATGCGCCCGTACGAGGCCCCTTTGATTAAGACGACCTTCATTTGATTGGTGGACGATCGGCTGATCACGTGACGGGGTAGGTGGTGAGGGCGATGGTGATGATGATCTATTGAGATCAATTCCGATGGTGATGATGATGGTGATGATGAAGAGGAAGATGACGACGACGACGATGACGATGATGCAGATGGCTGGCCTACTAAATGAATGCTAGGAAAGTCATTTAGTTGAAATGTTGACACTGTTGTTGACAACATTTGTTGCTGTTGTTGTTGCTGTTGCAACAGATTTTCTTGTTCATGACAATTTGGCTTGAAAAACTCACTTTGGCAATATTCTAAAATTTTATAACGTATCAATTTATAGGGACAAAGTAAAATATTTGTGATATCAATAATGATACATGATAGATGATATATACATATAGATACATGATAGATGATATATATAATGATAAACGAAAGATTATGTATAGATAGATAGATACATGATAGATTATATATATATATAATGATACATGAAAGATTATATATATATACATATATATAGATAGATACACTATATATGATATATTTAATGATTCATGATAGATGATACATATAATGATACATGATAGATAATATATCATGTGATGTATGATGATGATTTATAATGACGATGACGATTATGAAGATGACAATATAGTGTATTCAAAAATACAATTGTATGTACTATACATACATAACAAAAACAATAATTGTAAAAAATTAAATATTTATTTTGTTGGCATATGTGATGAAATATGTTTCATTCATATATTTTTTTTATACACGAAAAAATTTTGCAAAAAAAAACATTCTATTGAAAAAACTAATTAAAAAAAATAAAAATCAAAGATGGATGGAAGACGAAAAGGGGAAGAAGAAAAAATATTTCATCAAAGAAAATGTTTGTATTGCAGCAAAAGGTCAATCGATAAAACGTTTCATTTGTCCACCCAATTCATTCATCCTTGCTTTATTCTGTCTTTTTTTTATTCATTCAATCATTTGTCCATCTGTCCACCCATACGTTCATTCATTTACTCATTTACTCATTCTTTCGTTCGTTCGTTCGTTCGTTCGTTCATTCATTTGCTCAATTATTTATTCAATCATTCATTTATTTTTTCGTTCATTCATTCATAACCTACCTATTCTTCTTTCAGTCATTCAGTCAATCTTTTTACTTCTTATTTATCAACTTGATTTCGCATTTTATGAAAGTATGATATATATATATATCATACTTTCTGCTTGTATCTATCTATCAAACATGTTCAATCGGTGTGTCTATGTATCTATCTATCAATATTTGTTGAAAACCTTATTTAAACAAACAAAGACTAAAAAGACATTCCTTTGTTTCCTTCCGATAATATCTCGCTACGTTTCTCATCTACCAAATGCTTCAACTCAATTTTAGTCACAGTTGAAATAGTTGAAGACATATAGAATATATTGCCAAGTTCAATAACTAATTTAAATTTACTAATTTTATTGTAGTTAAGTGCAACTCGACAAACAAAACTCCAAAGATAAATCGAAGTTGAAAGAGGTAGCTGCACGGAAAATTACCTCCATAGCTTTGCTGATTCCACGTGATTTCACATGGGGGTTATCTTTTTTGTGCGCCTATGCATATGTGTCGATCACATGTGTACGAATATATATATATAAATATATTTTTACAATATTCTATAAATTCTACCAAATGTTTGGCGTTAATATGTTTGTAGTTCGTTTAGAATTTATAGAATATTGTAAAAATTATTGTCTATTACCAACATATAAATATATGTATACATATATATATACATGCTTTTATTTTCGCACGTAGATGTCATTATTTCCATTTTTTCCCATTCCCGCCCGTCATTCTAGATTCCCGAACAACATATCCTCATTTCCTGAAATTTCCATCTCCAAAAATTAAATTTTACCAATTCCATGGGTAAAGTTCCACCTATATTTTGTATAATACATTATACCATGTACATGTATATCATTCGTTAATTATAGATTATAAATCATATATCATACAGGAAAATATTTTGCTTACTTTGTATGTATCAATAATTATTTAGGCATATATTATTGAACATTAACCGTCATACATTTTGTATCATGTATCATGCGAATTGTATCATCTAGCGAACGTATATCATTTATCTTACATCTTATAAAAACAACCACTTCATATAAACTGTCATACATTATATGTCATGTATCATACATCTTAGATAATCTATCTTGTATCATTAACTTGATATTGTATCATTATTAGAAGCATTAATAGCAGAGTACAGAACGCACGCATGTGTACACGCGCGAACATTTATCTGAGCTGGAAGTATGTATACAAATAACAAATCAAGGTTTATTGAAGCGTGAAATGACGTCAGAATCTGCTAGTATCATCACCATCATCATCATCACTATCATCATCATCACTATCACCATCATCGTCATCATCATCTTCTTCATCATCACTATCACCATCATCACCATCATCACCATCATCCTCACCACCATCATCATCATCATGTCCAAAT